GAGGCAGATCGTGAACGCCATGCCGCTGAGCGCCGCGCTGATCGTGCAGAGTTAATGTCAATGATTTCTAGTGAGCGCGGTCGTAGTCACAGTCCCCGAAAATTCGTTCACCGGACCGTCTGGCGCAATCCCCAACGTGACGATGATTCTCCACGCCGTGTCCGCTTCCCTGGCCGTCGTCCTTCCCGTGGCCGTGAATCTACACCTCCCCGTCGTCGAGATCGTCGTGTCCGGCAAGAAACTTATTTTAGCAATGGTGGAAAACATGTTACTTGGGTTGGGGGTAGCGACGACGACGACAACATGGATCCTAGAGCCAGGCTCCAGAATGCCACCCCATCTCCGGGAACTTGTGTTGTGACCTTTGACCCCAGCCCGAGCCCTGTCCAACCCCGTGCAAGATCGTTGTTGTCAACTCCACATCTCGACACGGAGATCTTTTTCGGAACTGCTTCCACGGAACCTAGCAACAATGAAGGTATCACACTCACCCTCACTCCTGATCGGTCTTCTCAAAATGTTTTGCTCACTTACACACCCCATTCAAATATTATGAGCCCTTCTCGTTGTAATTAATTGATAGTGCTTCATTTACATGTTAACTGAATTCATCTATGTATCCTCCTCTATGCAATGAAATCTTGATACCCGATCCATTTTTCGTTGATCCCTGAAAAGTATGTCCTCAAAATGACTCCACAGCTGCTCCTGCTCGTTCTCCCTCCAAATGGGCATGTAAACAGAACGTATTTGATTGATGCCGACAAGCCGTGTGCGGATTTGGTAGAGACGTACCACAGTCTCGAGAAGATCCCCACGTCGAGCCTCAAAGTTAATTTCAAGGGGGACACGCAGCCGTCCAAATGAACCTTGAACCGCTCGCATACCCCACTCCGCTGTCTGTCGATAAGACAATAGTTGGCGGTCAAAAGCCATTGCAGCCTTTCTAGCAACGGGGTCTGCAGGGAGCCGTGTTCCATCCTTCATTGGTGCTTTGATTCTACCTTTGATTTGATCGGTTCCCCTTGGGAATGCCGTGTCCGTGACAAGATAATACCCCTCGGGGGTTTCAGCACGTAGCTTCTCGTAAATGGGGCGGGCAACTCGGGAGTCATGCCAGCTTCCAGGTGCGTTGAGCTTGCATGCAATAATTACTCCTGTCACAGTTTGAATAAACATTCTTCCAGCTTAAGCCAAGTGAAAAACTTACCCGATGCACCAAAAGCCAAAACGGAGCTCACGAAATGGTCATGTAGCCAGCCATTGAATGTCGCATTCTCTATCTCCTGATTGGTAGATGTTTGGACTGCCAGATTCAGCCCGTCCATGCTCCCGAAGGCACCAGTCAGCAGATTATGTCGTACAATGATCAAGTCATTGTTTGACTGGAATTCATCTCCTATAAGCCATCGGACCTCAGACTCTGGTATAACTCGAAGAACAGAAAGGAGAATGGTGAGGGTAAAGGTGATGTATCGGGACACAGTGCTTGGGATGAGCGCAAAGATTTGCATCAAGCTGACTTCACGCATGGTAGAGTTAAGGTAGTGAAGAATTAATCCGAGGGCACCGGCAGCGTCGAGGGAACGGCTATTTAGGCGTGGAACGGCTGTCCCTGGACAATCCGCGCGTGGGATGGGTGTAGCGTTCCAGTGTTCAGTGAAACCAGAGTCGAGTATATATGTGAACGTGGTGACGTCAATTCCCATGGTGGTGATGTAGGCGGGGTCGCTTCGGCTGTCCAGTAAGCGCTGCCAGGGTGTCCCAACACGTGGATTTGGAAGAAGCTCATTCCGCACAAGGTATAAGCGCTGTCGTCTCGCACCACGCCGTTTTCGTGATTCTGCTGCACCTAGATAAATCAGAGCCCCAGTTAGCGCAGCTCGGTAAATTTGATCCTCATCTTCTGCCATATCCTCCTCTTCTTCTAAGGCAAGGAGGTGTAGCATCTCCAGGTCATTGTCCATGGTGGAATAGATGAGGGTATCCAATACGTTATCTTGATTGTGATCGAGTACGTAAGCAACAAGAAGTATTTATGGCACCCATCAGATAGATGTGTTACGGTTTTATAAAACCGTTTTGTATATTCCAGAAATATTTGAGATATCTTTACAAATCACTTTGAAGAAATGTTTGTGTCTTTAAAACATTGCGGAAAGTCATCCAATGATATATAGCCCTGGAAAACAATGAAATATCAAAAATACTGCCCTAAGCAAGCAATGATATATAGCCCTGGGGAAAAATGAAATACCAAAAATATAGCCCTAGGCAAGTAATAATATATAGCCCTGGGGAAGAATGAAATATCAAAAATATCGCCCTAGAGAAGCAATGATATATAGCCCTGGGGAAGAATGAC